ATTTGAACTTCAAAATAATTTTTTATAATTTAATAACTAATATTTTATAATTCAATGTAATTTAAATTATAAAATACTTTTTCATTCTATAAAATGCAATTATACTAGTAATTGGTGTGGGTAGCTGCAAGAAGCAATCGAATGACTTTGGAACATACATTCATAATTATTGATGGAAGGCGTGATGGTCTATAGTCTTATGCTAAATGATTATGAATAATTATCTTTATGGGTCGGTGACTTGGGGTGAGATGACATGCATTTCTGGCCACAAGGTTATGGTTTCTTCTAATTAAAATTTTGAGACGATCAACTTTAGATTAGTTAATAAATTGATGGATGACAGCGTTTTGTTGAAATTAGAAGCCTACCCACTTGGATCATCATTTACTTTTCTTTCTTCTTTTTTTTTTTTCTTTTAAACTAGGTTAAATCTCCAATTTAGTCTTTCAACTATTGTACAAACACCAATTTGGCCCATAAACTAAAAAAATTCCTGATTTAATCTTTACGATTTATCAATTTAGTTCCAAGTTAGTTCTTCTATATAAAAATAGATGACATGTCTTAATATTAACGTGATACGTAACCATTAAATAATGGTTTTCTATCATTAACTAACGAACATACCAAATGTTTTTAATTGAAAGACCAATTTAGGACTAAATTAGTAAACAGTAAGGATTAAATTAAGAATTTTTTTAATTCAAAGACCAAATCATGGGTTCGTACAATAATTGGGAAACCAAATTAGGGGTTTAACTTGTAAACTATTAGGCTGTTTTTTATCCAATTTTGTGCCTAATTTGAGATTAATTTCTCTTTAATTTAGTTGAAGATAGATCATCCGCATCATAATTAGAAAATTTATGAAGAATACTTTCTTATTAACTTCTGCAAGAAATGAAATCTTGAATATTAAAATAGAGAGTAAACTCCCTCATCAATTAAGCCACAACTCATTAGTGAATCACCATTTTCAATTATAGTGCATTGGAGACTAGCAATAAGACCTTTATAGATATGTATAGATCATATTATCTTCTTTTTACCTAATTTTTATAGATAGGTATATGTGTAACCTTTAAAAGATAAGAATTTTGATTAAGAATATTTTTTAAAGTGGAGATATTGTTTGGAATGTGCAAAGCTTGTATGCCCATTGGATTTACCAATTGAATAGAGCTGCAACTCTATCAAAGATTGCATATAAATTTGTATGATTGGTCATAAGAAATCCCCAGTGTCTACTCAAAAACTTTATTCCAAAAAGTCACAAAATAAGCTCAACAAAGTTGAAATAATATATTATATATATATGTGAACCATGATCATGCATCCGTCGATTTGACACTCGGTAGGTGCACACTGCATAAACCAAAAAATTTTAAAAGTAAAATTACAAATTTACCCTCTCACTAAATCATTTCCCAAATTACAACAAGAACAAATCCCAGCAAAACTCAGTCAAGCATTCAAGTACCAAATTCATCCTTATCCTAATCATCTGCAAGACAATTGGCAATCGTACCAGGTTCCCACCTTCTTCTTCTTCTTTTTTTTTTTTTCTCATTTTTTCTCTCGAGTTCTCCAACAGAACCCACATGGAGAACCCAGATTGGGTTCTCCAGATGGAGAGAAAAAGAAAAAAAAGAGAAAGAAGGAAAAAGGAAGAAGATAATGAATTTGTTAGAAGAGGAAGATGGAGAGACAAGAAAAAGGGGTATTGTGAAGAAGATGACTTTTAAGGTTAAATTTGTAATTTTATTCTTATAATTATTTGATTTTGTAGAGTATGCACCTCCGGGTGTTGATCCGGGGGTTGCACAAAGCATTTCCTATATATATATTTATTTATTTCATTACGCAGAGACCAAACACACATAACCTTATGAATGCAACTAGGAATTTGTCATTAATTGGCCATATTCATGGATATATGTGGTGGTACAAACATTTAATATTATGGATATATAAAAATAAGAAATTATAGTCATAGTGACCTTATTCAAAGATATATGTTACTTATTGCTTAGCAGCTGCTTGATATATAGGACTCTCTTGATGCCATAAACGTATAGTTAGATGGATGGCAAGAACTTGAATCCTGCAGGATGATGTCCGCAACATTGAATAGGCCGATGAGGGTATTTCCGGCTAACTGCAAGGAGGAGAGGAGGCAGCCAACAGACGGCAGCTTGGCATTGCAGGTTGAGAGCGGAGTGGTGACTGCTAGGCTGCAGTTGGATAGCACTGAAGAGAGAACGAATTGAAGAGGATCCAACACCATGGAAAATGCACCCTTCTCGTTTGTGGTTGCATCGGCTACCACATTCCCTCCACACCGCAGTTGCACCCCTGCATCTGAATTTTTTTTTTTTTGTTTGAAAAAAGAACATAATGATAACGATTATCAAAAATTGTTTCATCTAAAGATTTAACGAGGATTAAAATACATGTTGATTATGTTTCTTGTAAAATGAAATTTTTTCGTCTAATCAAATTAGATTATATATGAATGAAATGACTGTAAACTGACTAGGAAAAGCTGGGATTGTACATGTAGTGCCATTAAGGCCCAAATTGCCATTGAGAGAGCAGGGTACAATGCCCTGGATACGGTCAAACCGAGAAGGGTGCCAATGAGGCCACCAGGGGATTGCGCATCAGCCATTGGAGATGCTATCGCAGCAAGCAAAAGGGAAGCAAAGAAAAGGGTTTTGAAGGCCATGGTGTACTCAGTTAGGTAGCTAGCTACTGCCAAGTATTTTGCAGCTATCCCTTCAAAGATGTAGCTATTTATAGAGTTTGAGAGGGCAAGTTGGTGCAAAATTTTCTTTCAAATTGGATTTGTTTTTCTTGTTTAGATCTTCTCATTTTGGGAATCTAATTTTGTCATGATGCTCTACGTCACCTTGTCAGTATGCATGCCATCCCCTTTGTGGGCTTCACCTATGTAAATGCCAATTTTTTCCTCCAGCTAGGGTTTCAATTGGGCAGGCATTCTTTCTGTCCCTTTCTGGGTAGCTGTCCATAGTCTAGATGAAGCTTTGGCCATTTTCAAAATTCTGATCCCAATTTAATTCACAAGGTTTTAGATTGGTCCAAGCCCATTGTTACCCTTGTTCTTTCCTTGTCTACTTTTTCAACCTTCAGTTGTGCCCTCCTTACAACTGGACGGGGAAGGACTTGCTTCTGGTGGAGTGGCGGGTAGGATACTTGGATTTACACAATATCCTTGGACGAAAGATATATAAAAAACCATTACCTTTAGTGGTCCATAATTCATCCATTTGCAGAGAATTTGCTTGCATTTATATGAGTTGTACTATTTGCAGAGAAATTATTGATGTAAAGTTGAAAGTCGGCATTTTTGGTAGATTACAGTGAAGGGTTGAATTCAACTTTGGTGGTGGGTTACAAAGGGAAATAATTTCTTGTCCTCTACTGCCTAAAAAAAAAAAAAAATTATTGCCCTCCAAGGCTTAAGGTAGTCAATCTTTTTTTTTTTGTTACATCATATAATTGTTTAATGATATAAAAATTTAAATATCTAATCTTATCTTTAAATTAAAAATTTTAAATTAGTAAATATCAATTCAATTGAATTCTTATTAACTTTAAAGCAATTGATAAGGAAGGTTTAGGCAACATTTAAAAATTAGTTAAATCTTTTATTTGCCCTCTACACTTTTTCTTCAGAATTGACACTTTTTATAATTTGTCTTTTATCAACACCTTATATAATTTAAAATGCATAAAAAAAACCTTAAATTATCGATAAAATCAAAATACAAATAAGAGGTTGACCATTCATTTTTAACCTTTTTTTACATATTTTAAATTATAAAAAAATAAAAAATGTAACTAAATATAAAAATTCTTAAAAATATTTTTTTAAAAATAATATACACGGCGCAAATTGAAGGAGGTTTGGCCCTTTCGGCAAAATAACCTCAGATTTCAGTTATCACGACCACCAACATGAACATGATACAATGCCGTGTTAAGTGTTTTCACTTTTGTTGAAATGACCCAAACATATATTAAGAATATAAGGTATCAGTACAAGTTACCAGTATTAAAAATCGAGGAAATGAAGAAACATTCACACCAACAAATCCATAATCCAAACAATGTTTTCTTCTCCACCTAACAAAAATGGTTCCGAGAAATTGTCTACCTTCCCACATTTTCAGTTTACTCTTCCTAAACACTCTTCGCTGGTTTTCTGCTTCTTGTGTCTACCTGTTTATAATCCTTCAAAGGGTGGGACCTCGAGTGTTGTTCCAGCTTGAATCTGACCCCACCCAATCAGACGCCAGTGCTTCTCGACTCTTCGACTAAGTGCAATCTTCTCTGACTTCTTGGTGCACACCGGCGAAGTCAGTTGCAGCTTTGCTAAGTCATTCTTCACGGCAATGACACGAGCCCCAGTTGACATGGATCCTATGTTCAACATTAGGATCTCTTGCTTGGCTAGCTTTGAGACCTTTCCTTGCTTCTCTGAGGCCTTTGTCCTCACACCCAGTAGTTTTCGCAGAAGGAAGAAGTTCACCTGCAAAAACAAACAGCATGCCATGCCATTCAGTAAGAAGGATAACATCTACCCAAGTCACTAAAGAAACCATAAAATCCTCTAGCAGGTTAATCACTTGCCTCAAGCTCAACAAAAACTTCTGGGAGTGATCCAACCTCCCCAAGAACTTGTCCAACTAACCTATCAGCACGAGTCAAAGTTGGGTCCATAGTTGTGCCCACACCAATTAAACCTCCTGGAACTGCAAACTGTAGCTCATTCTGCTCAGCATACAATGAAACTATTCTAGAGTATATGGGTGTGCATTTGATGTTCCCACTATCATCTTTAAGAACAATACCAGGACGAACTTCAATAGTTTGATTAACCTTTAAAACACCCTGAAATTCAAAGAAATCAACCAGATGGTTATACGTACAAAACCCACAACGAATTAAACTGATTGATTCTAAAGTTTGCAAATATGATCGATAAAGCATGAGGCAAGGGAACCAAAAAATAAAAGAAAAAACAAGAAGACATGAGGGGACCCTGGTATGGGTTCAGTAAAAGCCTGTGCCATCTGCCATGGAATGCAGGTTTACAACCAAACACGGACATTTAAAAGGAAAAGAGCAGTGCTACGGGCACTCGCTTTTTGCACTCTCCGGCAAACACTTCCCCTTTCATTGGGCCACGTAAGCTTCTTTAAAGCTTTCCGGTGCAACCTATCGGAAACCAAAATAACGTGGCCCAATAAAAGAGAAAGTGTTGGCCGGAGAGTGCAGGAGGCGAGTGCCCCTAGCATTGCTCAAAGGAAAATAAACATACCCGCAGTATACTTCCACCAGCAACACCACCTCTTATGTCATCAACCTCAAACCCAGGCTTATTAACATCAAAAGATCGGATAACAATCATATTTGGTGGTGAGACAAAATCCCTCACTGGAATAGGTATTTTCTTCACAATATACTCACACACAACATCAATATTATATTTCAGCTGTGCAGAAATTGGAACCACCGGTGCACCTTCAGCAACAGTTCCCTGCATCCAAAATGATGGGCACTTTTCAGAAGAGAAACATGATGTATACTAAGTTTCACCTATCCTTTTGAAACTAAATGTTGTAACCTCAATGAATTTCTGAATAGCATCATGCTGGTTAATAGCAACATTCTCCTGAATTAGATCTACTTTGTTTTGAAGAATTATGATATGTTGAAGACGCATGATTTCAACAGCAGCAAGATGTTCAGAAGTTTGTGGTTGGGGACAGCTTTCATTCGCAGCTATGAGAAGTAATGCTCCATCCATAATTGCTGCTCCATTAAGCATGGTAGCCATGAGAATATCATGACCCTGTTAAAATAAGAAAAATGTCATGAATCAACCACAGATTCACAAATTACAAAGTTTACTTTTAGACAGGTAATATGTTCAACAAATTTTCCTCCTATATTTCTGTAGTTTTAATAGCTAACCTGAACAAAAAAATGGACACACAGGCAGAAGTACAAGAAAAGTTCAAAAAATAGCCCCCACCACTGACAAAACTAGCTTGAACAAAATAAGGGGCAAAGCAGGACCACAAAGTGATGCCTTTGTCATTTTGCACAGGTCTATAATCTCAACATAACAAGATTAACAACCAACAAAGTTACTTGTCTGTTGGAGGCACCAAAATTGATAGAAAAATATTGAAAAAAAATTCTTGAAATGAGGAAACCAGGCAAAATAAAAAATACCCATAAATTTCTTTTTTATGTAAAAAAAAACTAATATACCAAAGACAACAATGTCAGATATTTCACACGATGCATGCAAGTATACCAAACTAAAAATAAAAGGCCTATCCTCAATATCTCCATGCATTTAGTCTTTAGCACCTTACCGGACAATCAACAAAAGACACATGTCTCAGCAACTTCATCCTGCAGTTTTCAAAGCCAGGCACATCACAAATGGGACTGTCTTCCTTTCCACTTCCATATGCCCTGCAAATCATGTTTCAAAATAAAATAAACTACCATAACAGTAATAATTAACAAAAAATGGTAATAATTGAGATATGAACCCACTTGTAGCACATAGGTCGTGGGCAGTTTTCATCTTCACATTTGTATATCTTAGCATTGGCATATCCCAGTTTAATAGTAATGTTTCTCTCCAACTCATTTTTAAAACGAACAGTCTGCAAAAAGATCACAAATAAGATACAAAAGCTGGCCTATTTGTATAAGTAATCATCTTTGCCAAGATATTTACAGAACAGCAATCAGAAACTGGTTAATTGATAATTAGCTTAGTCTAATCAACTAGAACCAACATCATATGAAATCTCTAGAAAATTGATATAAACCCTCAAGAAAGGTAAACCTGATTAATCATTAAACATAATCCCTCCAATATTTCTCAACTCTGAAGAAATATTCACTCTATCAGGATCAGATGGCAGTTTGATGGTGAACATTTAATAAAGTACTCGTGAATTCAACAGAATTACAAAGGCCTTGGTCTTGTGTTAATGTTACTTATCAGCTCAGTAGCATGCGTCATGAATTCTGCTTGACAGAAAAAACAGATAGCAGCATTAATCCTATACATTACACTTGCTGGACATGAATCGAATTACTCTACAAGAAGAATGCAACATATATTAAAGCACACTAGTAACAAATGAGGTACATTACCTGAACGCCTGATATTGCTTTGACAACTGTTGACTTCCCATGGGCCACATGGCCTATGGTACCTGAAAATAAATTGAATTCCAAATCATTAGTTTAATCAATAAATAAAGACCAAAATCCAGGACACATGACCAGCTTCGGGAAATTCATAGATAGAAAGTTACCAATATTTATAGTGGCCTGCCGAGATATAACCTCCGGCGAGAGGGGATGTAACAGAGTTACATCCAATTTTCTCAGATCCTGCTCCATCAAGCCCTTTTTTGACATATTTGCTGCTTCTAGATGGTCCCTTTGCTTATAAAGTTCTGCAAACAAAAGATAAGTAAAAACATGTCAAAAAGGGAAGCATTTTACCTAAACTACAAGACTTATACTAACATAGAAAAATCGTAAAGAACCCCAGATAAACCCTAACAACAGCCACGTTGAACAACAATAAAAATAGAGAGAAATTAGACCTCAGGACACATTCTCAGGATTCCCAATTCAACCAGGAAAAAAAAAGAAAAGAAAAGAAAGAAAACCCACAATCTATAATAAGTAAAAAACACAGAAATCCCATTAAAGTCGTCATCAACATAGCAGGTGAGCCGTCATTGGCAATAAAACCCTAGAAAAAAATCCAGAAACGCCCTTAACCAGGTATCAAGAATCATTCTTGCTCAAAACAAAGAGTAAAGAAAAAATACCCATGAATTTAAAAAAGCAACAGGGCATTAAAAAACCAGAAACACCATCAAAACGAAGGCCAAAAAAACCCAAATCAAGAAGCCAAAAAAAAAAAAAAAAGGGAAGAGATTCACAAAAAGAATAATGGAAGAACCAAAGTCTGTAACAGAAAAACACGAGAGAGAAGCATTGAAGAAGAAGAAGAGAACGATCGGAAAGAGATGAAGGGACGGACCTGGTAGCTGATTGAATGTGAGACGGACGCCTGAGAGGATTTTGTTGGGTAGCTTGAGAATAGTGTGTGCGTGTTTTTGGGTGAGGAGTTGAGAGAGCAGCAGGAACTAGGGATGGTGGTGAGAGGATATTTATATCCTATTAGGGTAGATTTGTAAATTTATAAAACGGGTTAAGTCCTAGTTGGGTAGTCTCAAATTTAGACCCGCCGTGTCCCTCAAAAAAAGATAAGACGAGTTGGGCCCTTGCCCCAGACCCGGAAAGATATTCCCGTTATTATCCTTAGATCCTTTCCTCCATTTTTTTTTTTGTCTTTAATTTAACTAGCCACCGTTATTTTTATTAGAGCCAACAAAGTATTAATTTTTAATGTTAATTTAATTATTAAAATAGTTAATAATTAATATTTAGTATTTAACATATTAAAATTAATTTATAAATAAATATTTTCAAGCATGACAATCATTTTTTAAAAAATTATAAATTATTAAAATTATAAGTAATATTAAAGGCCTTCATTTAAATAAAAAATTGGTGGCATTAACAAAAAGACTAATGGTCATAATCTCAACAAAAAAAAAAAATTGTTGCTCAGTCTAGATTTTTTAGATTTCATAATAGTAATTTGAATGTTTTTTAGACTGCAAAATAATAATCTTTAAATATAGAGTAAATTTTTTAATATTGAAAATTATTTCTCTATTTAAAAATCCTTATTTAGATTTAATTTTTTGAACATATTGTAATTATTTACAAGTTAATTAAATAATAAGAAAAAAAGTTTTCATGGAGCTCAAATATACAATTCACAGAAGGTGAATAACCTTAACCTAAGATTCAATACCATAGGTCGGAACGAACCCGTTCTTCTATTTAGATTTATTGATAAACAATAAGAACAAAATTTCCATTGATCTTTATATTATTGGGTCACGCTTTTTGTGTGTGTGATTAGTGATACATAAAGGAGACAAACTTTATTTGTATTTAGCATTTAAAGTTTGTTTGAATTACAAAAAAATCTAAAAAAGAGCATAGTATTTATTTTTTATTTTCTTTTTGTTTACTGGACGATCATATTATTTTATGGGCTGGAGTAAATTTTTTGTGCTTTTTAAAAATATATATATAATTTAAAGCAATTTGTCTATTCTTATTTCTTTTAATGAGACCATATTCTCTGAGTTTGATTCATATTTGATAATTCTTGGTTAAATGTTTGCTTGTTGACAAATTTCTTGGTCCGCAGGTTATCTCTTTTATTTGGGGATATGAGGGAATATCTCAAGGACCAGGTAGGAGTAAAACTTGAAGCTACAAACACTTAGGGTTATTTGTTTTAACATTTTATAAATAATTATTAATTGTTAATTTTAATTTAATAAATTTGATATTTTAAATTATAAATAACAATAACTATCAACTTCAAATATTAACTATTAACTACTAACTACATTTGAACAAACAAACCAAGCACCCTCTGATTTGAACCATTAGGCCATTAATACTGGTTCAACTAACTTAAATTTGATAATGAGAAACAAAATAATGAAATAATGTAGGAATAGCCAATCTACAAGTACGAAAGATTTCCCTATTTCAATCTTACTAAAAAATTACTTGGTTTCCCTCTCCCTTTAACCACATCCTATATATTAATTTGTTGTTTCTCCAAAAGCAATGTTTCTTATTCTTGGCTAAAATATTAATTAAAATTATTTATAATATATAAAATATTAACTAAAATTAATTAGTTCTAATAATTTACAATTTTAAGTAAAATTCTATTTGGAAAAGTTAAGTATAACAATCCAAACAAAGCTTAAATTTGGAATGGAATACAATTTTTAGTTACTTTATTGGATTAAAAAGAAAAAATGCAATAGTGATTCGGCTATAACTTTTTACATTGTACACTTTGTACCCTTACCTGAATATACAAATTAAAATTAATTTTTATCATAAATATATATATAAAAATTAATATTAATTTTAATGTTAATGTTAAGCTGATAAATTTAATCAGAACTTAATAAGTTAAATATTAATTTTTATTTTTTTAATATAAATTTATAATTAAAAAATTATTTAATACAACTTTAATACGTCTTTAAAACACAAATTAGACAAATCACCATTAGTCAAGGAAAAAGAAAATTTCATGGAAATTTTCAAACAAGAACCTATTGCCCAAATGCAGACGAGCATGGCATTCCTCACTTCTCTTTCTTTTAAGTTTTAGCTTAAACCCATAAAAAGTTACAGGCATCAATTAAAAGAAAGCAAGAATCAGGGTCTAAACAAGAAGTGTGGACCATGGCTAAAAAATTTGTCTAATCCAAGTTTGGTAAACACATAGATTATACAACATAATGATCCATCAGTAAGCACAGCAACAAAATTGGAGAGCATAACAAACTAGAACCTCCGGATATCCTTGGGTGGTTTGAAGTTAAGAGGATAGGTTTCTGGAGTTGCAGTTTCGTCTTCCCTCCACATTTTAATTGTCTTGTCTGCCTCACAGGTGATCAATCTCGTGCCAGTCATGTCGTAAGAGAGTGCATAGATACCAGCTTCACTATCCAATGAGCCTAAAACCAGTGGACATGGATTTAAAAATCTTCCCATTCTACAATTGTGTCAAGGGACAAAGGATGAAGAAAGAAACATCACAAGATACATACCAGGCTGTACAATTGTTTGAGATTGCTGGAAATTGTGGCCACTCTTCCAATCCCAAAACCACAAACTTCCATTGTCGCCTGCAATGATGTGCGGAGAAAGAAATTAAAGGAATGCTTTGCATACTTAGAGGGCAAGATCAACTAAACAAAAACTGAATTTTAAGCTTAAATGCAATTGTTGCGTACCTCCAGTTGCCATTACACCATCCTCATTGATAGCCATTGAATTTATTATAGTTTTCTGCTGTGAGCTGTTCCATAGACAAAAACTTCATCAGCAGATTGGTTTAAAAAGCTTGTTGGTCTAACATTTGACAGTATCTTAAATTGGTTAACTGCTTTCATGAGTTGGTAGCATAATATGGACTTGTCATCATAACCAAATACATATAATTTGCCACCCCTATTTAACAGATATATAGATGAAGTAAAACCCATTCTATTGTATTATATAATCAGACTAATTTCGACTGCTAATTTTAAGCAACAAGCTTCTTCACATTAATAATATGTTAAATGATAGACTCCCTAAACCCATCTCTTAATATGGGTATATATTTTTGCCAAATGTCTCTGGATGCTCACTATACAATGGTAGGCATTTCATGGAAATATCCCATGTACTTATCAGCAGTAAAAACCCAACACATCAAAGGAAATTGTCATTTCTATTACCCTTCCATAAAGGAGCCCAAAATGAACACTGTACCAACACTCTTTCACACCTCATGATTGACAAGTCTACCATGGTTAAGAAGAATCAGAAGCTATCGACTTTCTCAAACTTAAATGTTGTTCAAAAATGGGAGCAATTCTATAAATGCCTACCTACAAATAGGAAGACACAAACATAAATAAAGACAACTACCAGCTTGATCATTGTCTTTCCACAATCTATGCAAGATTGCTCATTAAGAAAACAAAATCCCATAATCTTAAAGGATAAGCAAATTGTACATATAGAATTTCAGCAATGAAGCAATAGCGCACTTTACTTACAGCATGTTGTGTAAAAATTCACCCTTTGGGAGGCTGAATTTTTTTACGTTGTCAGCTGAAGCAGATGCAAAACAGTGCCTGGTGCACAGAAAGTGGGAAAAAAGTGTAAAAATTATAGCATCAGATCTTCAACAAAAGCTCCACTATTTTCATAGGAAATAATAAATGACATCTAGGGGCACATACTCTTTAGGATGCTGTGCCATAGCTCGTACAGACTTCTTATGGTGGGTTAAAGTTACCATTGTTTTCCCTGCACATAGAAATAGCTGAAATGTCATTGATACAGATGGAATAAAGGAAACAAGAAAGATATTTTAACAGAAACATAGATTACCATATCTAAGGTCCCAAAATTTAATGGTTGAATCATGGGAGCCAGTAACAACTTGTGGATCCTGGTAAAACAGAAGCAAAATTCAGTGCAAAAACCAATCTGAATGCCCCAAAGTAAAGAAAATAAATATTCTCATGTTGCTATGGTTATCTCTTAAATTTTGGGCTTGTGATGGAAGATGGGTGTATTACCATGAGAATTAAACAAAAATGGGCTCTCTCTTCTCTCTTTGGAATTTTTTTGGGAAGAAATTCGTTATTTTTTATATCCCATGGCCCATGAGAAAACAAGAAGCAAAACAGACACATCTACATACCGTTGGTCTTGTAAAAACTGAACAGACAGTATTATCATGCCCAGTTAATGCAAAGATTTGCATCTTGGTACGAACATCCCACACCTAAAAATTGTCATCACATCAAACAAAGAAATCACTTTCTGATTCTAAAATTAGCAGAAACAGAAAAGGCATGAATGGTATCTAGAGTACTGATAAATGTCATACTCGGCAGACAGAATCACGTCCCCCAGTGAGCAAAATGTCAATAGTGGGATGCAGAGCCAAGCAATAAACACCACTTAGATGACCATGATAAGACCTGATAACCTAAAAGGAAAAAAGTCAGTTTCAAGAAACCAAGTTACTTAGAAATGAGAAAGTTAAAATATTAGGTTTAAAAAGTACTCACTTTGTTCTGTTCAAGGTCCCAGCATTTAACTTGCTTGTCATCACCAGCAGAGAACATATATGTGTGTTTGCTACTGACAGCAAGGCCTGCACATAAGTTACATATTTCTCACTATTATTTAATCCATGATTGACAATATTCCTTAGCAAATGATTAGTCAAACATTGTAAAATGACATCATTAGCAACTCTCCAAAACTAACCTCGAATTTGTTCAATGTGTCCAGTTAGTGTGAGCTTAAGCCTTCCACTTGCCACATCCCATATCTCCGTATTTGGGCAGCAAAACAGATTTATTTCAACAATTAGTGGCTAAATTGTCAATCTAAAAAGTCTAATTTCCAGGATCCCAAAAGATACTTTTGATACCCTTGCAAGCACAGATAATCTAATTATGTTTTATAGGTTCATACCTTAATAGTACGATCTGCAGAGCCCGTACAAAACCATGAATTACTTGGGTCAAAAGCAATAGATCTCACCCATCCCAAGTGTCCACTGATGACCTTCAAAACCAATTTAAGAATGTGAAATAAAATACAGTTTATTTGACACAAAAATAACTAGGAATAAGGAATAAGAGAATCTAGCATCATTACTAGAATAACTGTGTTCTGATACACACACGTAATGCATGCCTAAACCCAACATTACTTTGACATACTAATTGAAAACAAAGATGCACAGTAATCAGCAGGGTGGATGAGAAAGATGCAGACATAAAAATTTAGATAACTAATTTTAAGCTACCAACCATTTCCAATCATCAAACTGAATAAAGAAAATTCTATATCACTTATATTAGCTCCAAGACATTTGAAAACAGAAGAAGCAGAAAAAGAAAAGATCAACAGAACTTATTATTCCACTAGCTGTGACTATCACAGTTAGAAATATCCAAACAATTCTTTTACCATCCACCCTATCTTAAAGTACAAGCTTCTTACCCTGTAGTTCTTCCATGGAGGATGCCATACAGGACGTGGCCATTTACTTGGAATTCTTTCAATTATTGCAGAAGTTGTTAGCCTGTTAAATAACAGACAACAAAAAATTTCAAGATAGAATTCTATGTTTCCAGATATGATTACCATGGCATGACAGAACAGTTACCAGAACACTCCACTAATTCCCAATCAATTATAAAGTATGTGAAAGGATAAAAGGCCAAAGCATAAATGCATGATGTAGATTTTGAAAAACCATAGACATGCTTGACTACCATTATGTAAAAAATATATGGATGAAAGGTCCTTATCTCAAAGAGGGAGAGGCTAACATAAGGAAGATTAATTTAGTAAACCAGAGAACATAAGCAACTAAGCAAGAGTTACAATGGGAAAAAAAAAAAAAAGTGATAATTTTGTAACAGTATCATGCAGACAGAAAGGGCATGTGAGAGAGATTTAAAACCTTTCAGAAAACCCAGGTGCAGAAACAATTGAAGTGCTTTTGCCTGTGTTACCAACTTCAGTTCTGGAAAACAGAAAAGGAGAGACAGTTAGTACAACTCTGTCTTAATGACAAAACTCCCCTGCATATGGCTTGCAAGAAAGTTGAACATATAGGGAACCTATATGCCACAGGATTTTACTATTATTTAATATTATCCTCCTCAACTCTGATTTACAGCATCCCGTTTTTTGAATTTAGACTCTCACCAAAATAAGTCTAGTGTGGTCTTTTTCTCCACATGGATCCACCCATGAATTTTCACATGTGAAGCTAACCACATACAAAATAGCATTCCTTTACCGTTGACATTAAAACCCATATCTCTCAATTTCTTAAGAAAGATGGGAACTGAACCAGAAAAGAATTACAAAATATGACAGAGATGACTTACGATCCCTTTGGTTGCAAAGATGGACCAAGAACCAATGCATTTTGATCTCGTTCCTTTTGAGGATCCCTAGAACCTTCTGGACCTGAAGACATTTAAAATCAAACTTTAGGTCAATTTGTGATTTCATCTTCCATGCTGTTATGCAAACAGACAACTTTTGTGACACAAGATAGATTGTTGGTGTGGTGGATTTAGCTTCCTTAAATTTGAAGAGAAACAATAAGTGATGCATGGACAATGGTGTGGAAGACTAAGGACTAAGACTCAATCACAATCGCATAAAAAAAAAACGAACAATAGTAGAACACAGCAGGACGATGCTTACGAAAAAGCAAAGTTGAACCATTATCAAATTTCTCATGTTCTTTAATCAAGAAAACATAATACCTGGAAGAGCAAGGGCATTAGACGGCGCCGAAGCCTGGTTACCACCGTCTGTTGCACCTGAATTAGCTTGTCGTGTAGGTTGACCTCCTGCACCTTTAATTCCTCCATACTCAACATGTATCTATGAACGAGAAAGGGCAGACATTGATATCTCTATTAAAACTGATATCTCCATCAAAACTTTCCGATGCCAAAGATCCCAATGAAAACAAGAAAAGTACAGGAAAACCGTAGTGATTTTACCAATTCAGGCTAAAACAGAAGGAACTTCACTAACCTTGTGGTTCATGCGAATCCTTTTGCTGCAAAAAGAGAAAACCCAGATGAAATCAAGCAGTTGAAATTAGGTATCGAAACTGGAAATCAACATTAGGGGACAAAAGAGAAGAAAAGGGGCACCTTTCAGGATCGGAAGGGGGGAATTGACCATGGATTGGGCTGAAGAGATCTAGAGAGCGTTTGAGGGATTTGAGACTCAGCTTCTTCAGTGACTGTGGCTCCACCGGCTCCATCTCCATCGTCGGTCCCGGCATATCTCGAAGACTAAAGATTAGGGCTTTGAGTGAGCTTGAAAAACAGCGAAGAGCTCTTAAATGCCCAAAGAGCTCACCCCTTCCCCGTTATTACTTCTACGCTTTCTCTACCAGTCGGCAGACATGCCCATGCTAACATATATCCGCCACCGCCTCCATCGGCAAGAGGTTTTGGGCTTCATTTGTTGGCGAAAATCCATGACCAGCTCTCCACCTTACTGACTATGAAAGTTTCAGTCCCTTAACTTACATCCTTAAGATTTTAGTCCCTCATCCTTTTAACATAAATAAAAAAATGGGCAGGGACAATATTTTTATATTATTTTTTATACAATTTTTATATATTATTAAATAAGAAGATACGCTTTATATAATAGATCTCAAATAAAAAAAAA